GCTATACTGTACTAAACATGGGCACTGAGCACACTAGAGTCGCTCCGAAATAAACACAGGCAATGCTGCAGGCATTCGGGTTGGGCAGTATCTATGGCAGAAACAGGAGCATATAGCAATGAAATACAATTTAAGTGTGGCAGCCAAAAGCATGCGTATACAAAATCAAATCTGAGATAGGTTGGAAGGTAAGAAAGACAAAATGACAAAAGGGGTAAGAATTCAAGGCAAAAACAAAACAGATGTTAAAGAGATAAAATAAAGGTCCAGGTGGTGTATAATGCCGCAGTAGAATCACCAGTTGCTGTCCAAAATTTGAGAGACTGTAGGGATTCTTCATATTGTTTCTCCCAAAGTGCATCACTTTAACGAATCTTGTACATCTTGAATGGCGACTGTGGGTTTAGAAGATGCTGATGTGTTTCTTATCTCCTGTACGCTCTGCACTCACCATACACCATTCATGGAGGAAATTAACATTAGAGATGGGATGGGGTATCAATCAGGCAGGGTGCTTTCTGGATTGGTGTCAATTTTATTGTGTTGTTGTAGTTGGACCCACCCAAATAACTCTCCATCATGTTTCTGACATGTAATCTTCAAATGGAGAGCAGCTTTGGGTAAGTCAGGAGGTGAGCCACTTTCAGAACAACACCCAGGCTCTGACTTGTTCTGGGAGCTGTGATGATGGTGGGGGAATTCAATGGTGGTGGTGCTGCTAACGAGTGCCATGGGAAGTTGGTTATTTCAGATTGTCATTGCTTGGATGTTTCTCGACATCTATCAATCAGAGTCTGAATACATTTGTGGTAAAATTCATCTGAGTTTGAGTGATAAATAAAAATATTGTAAGGTGGCTTTTGCAATCTCAGACGAAAAAAAAAACTTGACTTTAAATCTCCAGGCAAGATACAAGCTTTAGATAGAGAAAAAGGTAATACTCTCCTCCTGAGCAGAGAGTTAAATTTCATGCCTTTTAAAAAATTTATTCATGGGATGTGGGAGTCACTGGCTGGCCCAGCATATATTGCCCATTACGATTGCCCAGAGGGCAATTAAGAATCAACCAAATTGCTGTGGGCCTGGAGTCACATGTAGGTCAGACCAGGTAAAGTTGGCAGATTTCCTTCCTTACAAAAGGACATTGGTGAACCAGATGGGTTTTTCCTGACAATCAGTTTCATAGTCATCGTTAAACTCCTATTTCCAGATCATTATTGCATTCAAATTCTACCATCTGCCATAGCAGGATTCAAACCCAGGTCCCCAGAACATTACTGAGGTCTCTGGATTAATAGCCTAGCGGTAATACAGTCACCTACTCCCAGCAAAAGCCACAAACCACTGTTACAATGCACTAGGATAGCATGCCATAAATCAAGCTCTGTTATCCCTGGAGTCATATCAAATGTTAAAGTTTTGTTTTGAAAGTACACACAGTACCCCAATTTATCAGATTTTCAGACCGAGGTTGATAGAAAGGATGGACCAAGTTCCTGTATTGAATGCTTATTCTACTTCAGTAGAAGTAACTAGACTACAGCCACAAGCAACAAATAGAAACCACTGGCGTTTAACAGTAAATAAAATTCTAATCCCTTATAAGCTCCCCCCAACACAGACAACCAAATAGCGAGAATAGATCACTGCTGGGGGCAGAAAAACTGGAAAGCCAGTTCAGTGGTTTTTGTTTCCCGATTCCAAAGTTGAGATGCTTCTTCTTTAGCTGGCCAGATCGCCAGGTGGTTAGATGCCTCTCTCTGGAAGCTTCCACTGGTTTGTAAGAAGCAGAAGTGGCTGCTTCACTCAGAAACTGTTTGATTTATCAACTTAGAAGTCACAATCTATAGCAACTACTGAAGGAAAAGTAATTGTTTTCTTCAAGTTTAAAGTGAGTTTCAGACAGTAGAGAGCAGGTAGCTTCTGGGCTGGGAGAACGTCTGCACAGCTCTCTTCCTCTCTCTCTCTCTCTGTAACTTGCTTCCAGCTCCATGTTGCTCAACCAGTCAAGAACCAACCACACAGCTGCCGGCAAGCAAAAAAGGCTCTGCCACTGATAACCATCACGGGTTCACAGTCCAAACAACATCTTACTGATTGACTGAACAAGAGCTGGATCGTTACACACACTTAGCTCCATGCTGTCAGCTATCTGAACTTCAATTCCTGCTTGTTCAAACAGCTTATATCCGTGGCAGGTATTATGAACAAGTTACTTGCTTTCAATACTGCAGATATGCTTCCAAACACTTAAAACTCGAATCATTTTAGTCCACAGATTCTAAAAATGCTAAAATAAAAAAGGACATGGTCCTAACCCTACATATAGTAATATTTCTTGCACATCTAAAATTCCAGATTCCCATCACCTTCAGCTATGGCAGGCTAACTAAATATTATCCTTCCTTTTCTCAATAAAATCTTACAGCGTTATTTTCTACACGATTTGACTTTTGTTAGCAGCAGAAAGTACAGGTTGTGTGTTTCATTTGCAAATAAAAGCTCTCAAACCCCAGTCTGCAAAGCATGTCCAATCAAGCCCTTAAAACCAACCTGTTCAGAGAAGTTATCGTCATTGTGCAATCAGGTACTGTGGAAGTTAAACTATAGCCTACAGTTCCAAAAGAGGCCTGAATAACATCAGGTCACAAGAATGCATTGATTGTTGTTTAGGAAATTAGGACGATAGAAGAATAAATGACTAATCACTTGCTTCACATGAAGTTTATACCTCACAAACAACAAAATAACCAAATCCACCCGAAGCAGACAACAGACAGTTGTAAATTGCTGAAGAGAAATCGGGAAAACCCCTTAACCATCCACGACAAAAACCAAGCAAGTATTAAAGGAAATAAGCTACAAAACAGAAGAAAATCAGACTAGGGCAAGTGTACTTTGGAACAGATGAAGTATTGTGTGAATGGGAACAGGAAATTATAAACAGCCATAGATCAAGAGGGGAAAACAGAGACAGTGGGGTGAAAGGAGGCAATACACCTTGAATTCAGCAAATTAAAAGTATTTTCTCCATAGTGACAGACCAGAAGCTATGGAGGAGTGATGGAATTTGTATCAGCATTTACAATTATCATACAAGCTTACTCCCAAAAATAATCAGAATGGCAAATGAAATGTTGGTCTTTACCTCAAGGAGGTCGCGAGAGTAAAGTGACATTGCAATTGGACAGAACTATGGTTAGTACCAGCTCCAAATGGGACTTAAAACAATAACCCAGTATCTTTCGCCACAGACAGTGTCAGAATTTCTCCAGTGCTTCGATTTTGTTTTGGGTTTCCAGCATCTGCTTTTCATTACACTGGAGTATCAGGTTCAATTTGTGAATCAAGCCACAAGAAAAATACAACAAAGCAAAAAAAAAAAAAAAAACTGGCGCATGCTGGAGTTCAGAAACACACAAAAACCGAAATTGCCGGAGAAACTCTGGTCTGGCAGCACCTGTGGAGCGAAAACAGAGTGAACACCAAGTCCATTGACGTTTCCTTAAAACAGGAAAAATAGGTTGGTCTTGGAAGGGTGATGGCACAGATTCATCAGAATATTCCCAGAACTTAAAGAGCTCAATTACAAAGCCTGTTTTCATTAATAGCTTATGTCCACTCATGTTTAAATGGTGGAAAAATGATCATAAAACAATAGTGCAAAGGAGGCCTTTCGGCCCATCATATCCTTGCTGATCATTTGATGGAGTTCTCCAACTAATCTTCCTCATAGTTCTCCTTTTCCTTCTTCATTTAAAAAGGGAAATCAGGAAAGTATGTTCTCCATACAAAGAGCAGTGGAAATCTAGGGCACTCTTCCTTAAAGATGTGGATGTTGGTTCACTTAAAATTTTAGAAGACAGAGCTCAATAGCTTTTTTTTGTTGGGTAAGGTTATCAAGCAACATAGATCAAAGGCAAATAATAAAATAGGTTGAGGCACAGAGTTAACACTGCACTGAATGGAGAATAGGCATAGGGGTGTTACATAAATCACCCTCCTGCTCTGAAATGGCAAACATGAAGAAAAGACAGCTGAGAGGAGGATTAATTAGAGAGCTCCATCAAATGATCAGCATGGATAGGAAGGGCTGAAAGGCCTCCTTCTTTGCTGTATTGTTTTATGAGCATTTTTCCACTATCTACACTTGAGAGAATGCAAGCCATTTGTGTAAACACATTTCCTATAATAGATTCCAGACAAGCATTTGCGAGATAGATAACTTCAGAGTATTCAGGTATTAGACAGTTAATCCAGCACGACAGATACAGAATAAAACATGCAGCGAGGCACAGAACATACCTCCCCCATGAAAGAAACATCAACAAGAAAATTAGTGCATGACTTCATCACTGTAACCAAATTCCTGGAATCAGACTGTGTTGTAAATCGTTTCCATCGGACTCTCGCAGGTTAGGACACAAATCAGACACATAACACATGTTCTAAACTTTCCGTGACCACTTCCCAGTGACCCCCCAGTGGGCCCACCTTCATCACAGTAGGCTGCTATAGGTTGCTAGCTGAAAAAAATGCTGTCAATCACTGGCTCATTCCACTCCCATTCTTAGTGGCATTCCACAAATGCAGAGTTTGAGTACAACATGACAAACTCCTTACTCCACTCATGTTGAAGCACGCATGGTTAAAAGTGCCCACAGGTTCAGTAGCATTTCAGTGTCGATGGAGACTGGTGCATATCGGTAAAAGCACTCTGCCAAAGACTCACAGGCCAAGCTGCTCTAAGACTGCTAATGTCCGAAAGCAGATACAAAATTACAGAAGCAGGATTTTCCAAGTGGCAAACAAGTCAAAGATCAGCCATGCACATTGAGCAGCAATTTTCAGGTGGATTGATTATTTTAAATCAGAAAAATAATAATAAATAAAAACCTTAAAAAGAATGCCGCCTTAAGGTTTATTTGCCACATCACCACATTACACTTTTGGATTTTTGTAAAATATGAAATACTTCATAGTGTAATGATTAACCTTACCAGCAGGATACGAGTATTATACTCCAACTCTTTCAGCCAGCTGAGGGGGTCTGAAATGCAGCATCGAGACAGAATACTTTCTTTTTATATATCTGCAAAATACAACACACCCCTCGAGTGAACCCTCTGTACGAGTTTACTACTACATGACGGCAGTAAGTTTGAACAGGAAGTGATTCATAATTTTAAATCAGTACATGTTGTCAGCATAGACATTTTCCTTAAAAGCACGCCATTAGTAGGCATATTACGTCAGACAAAGCTGAGAATTAGTTTGGTGGAGTTATTCTATGCTTTACACAGTATCCCAGAGAGCAAGAAAACAAAAATCAGCATGACTGACAGCAAAGGATTCAATCTGTCTTTTTAAATGTGTGAACCGTTGTGCTCAGCTGGGAGCAATCCAACCATTGAACCAGAGATTGTTGGTTCAAAACCCACTCAAATCTGGAGCACAAATTTTATCACTCACAGTGCTCAGGGTCAGCTGCATTGCTGGGACAGGCCAGTTTGGAGGAGACACTGAACCAAGGCCCCACCAGTGGGATGTAGATGATCCCAAGGCACCAAAGTCAAGGAAGCTTCCTCTGGAGTTTTGGCCAATTATTATCGCAGAAGGAATATAATAAACAGACTGCCTGCTGATCACCTCATCGCTGATTGTGGAAGCTTGCTGTGCATAATTAGCTTTCCTGTTTCCTACATCACCCTGGTGACTGCAGCTTCATTTTGGGAAATCCTACTGTCATAAAGTAAGACAGCTTTATTCATAAAAAGTGTAAGTTACAAATACAAGACGAGGCTACAACTGAGTTTGAATTCAAATGTAATTGATTATTTCAATTAATGCAAATGAAAGGTCATTCAAGGCGATTGGCTCAGCACAGTAAGTTGGTTTGTATTGTAAGCTTTTCAGAGAACAGGATAAAGACATGGCCACGATCACAGCAGCTTCATAATCTTGGCTGGGCCATGTACACCATTTTATTGAACCCTTTACACCAATGCTGTGTAGTCACCAACTCAAGACAAGAGAGTTAATACCAAGAGCAGGATTTCAACCCTGCCTGAGTCAGCAAAAACCAGGTGGGAGAGGAATTAAAATGCACTAGTGATTTAATCATTCAAAATTCAGCCATTTCCAGTTCCGATCATCTGGACACAGCTACAGCAGCCTACTGAAACAGTGGGATCCTTCTTTGAATACATAGATTGGAGCCAGATTAATGTCTTTGAGCTTTAACCATAATTTCACCTCCCAGCTCAAACCCTCCAGGTGAAAAGGTCTGTCAACGAAGGCAAGGCTTTAAAAACTCATCTTGTATGGGATTGGGTGGAAAGTTGCCCAGAAGCTTGTTATTGAGGCTTGGTGATTCAAATCCTGACCACATGGATTGACATGTTGTTGCGAATACACCAGTGCGGCTTCTTGCTATGGATTGAAATCTACACCCAGCCTTTAACAGCTCAACTAACCAGTTAGGCTGCTGCACTAGACAGAAGGTAACCAGAAAGCTGAAAATTAGCTTTAAAAAGATTAAAGCTCTCATTGAAATAAGCCAAACAGCCTCAATTTTTAAAAAAAGCCACACTTTATAAATTGGCAGGTCAGGGATAGTTTACAACAGGAGTTAAACATCCCATCTGACTACCCACAGCAATGAAGACTGTAAACCCAATTAGGCAAGATAGACAAATTGTTTTCAAGCACAGATTTCCTCCAGGCTACTACTCAAACCAAACAATGTTAACCCAATCAAAACAAAATACCTCTTTTTTTTTCCCCTACCTACAATCACACATAATGAAGCAGCACTCCCAAAGAAAGCTGCACACAACACAATTGCAATGGATTGAGATACATTCATGGACTGAGGTCAGTGCTACTATGAATGGTTTCCTTTTAAATTCAAGAAAGATGTCGACAACCTGAAGCCTGAATTTAATCAAAAAATTAACACTCAGACCGAACAATTGGGCTCAGAACATGAAAACATTTAGAAACACGTGCGGCCTACAAAAACAATCAAATTCAGATGTGGGGATACTTAAGGGGTCGTGGCAGCCAATGGCTGACAATGCTCTGTGTAACCAACAAAACCATTAAAATAAGGTGAGGGCAGCACTAACTAAAATTTCATTTCTACTTGTTTATAATGCTGTGTGTAGGAGAAAAAAATAACAGGCAACTAACATCCAAGTGAAGTCAAAAAGAGAGAGTTCACTCAGCAGCAGTGCTAGGAAGAGCAAATGAACTGCAACACGATAATGACAAGGAAGGAATGGTCAAACTGGCAGCATATTGGTTAGAGCTCTTCTGATGTACAGCATTTAGTCACAGTTATATGGTCTTCAAGAGCCCTGATCACTAAAGGATATCAGTTCAGGATATCAAAAGATGAGAATGTTGTACTGTTCTGACAATTAATCTTTGACTCACATCGAAACAACAGATTTTTATCTTGAATACAAAGCTGAAACTGAACAGTGAAGGCCGGATAAGGGGAACAGACTGAAACCAGCAATTCTAGGGATTTCTTCACAGAATGATGAACACACGGAACGAACATACCAGTAGAATTACAGAAATGAAAAAAAAAGGGTGGAATTGTTTGTCAGATAGCTGTTTTGATGGAATGTAGAGGTCCATAGGGTTTTGTTGGATGAAGGAGCTGAGGTAAGCCATATTGCTTTCACTGCCAGTTATCTTTTTTCTTAGAAATTTCTATCACAGAATGCTTGCATCACCAACATTGCCACTATTTGCTGTCCATCCCCCAACTGCCCATAAATGGAGTAATTTCCTTAGTCATTCCAGAGGACAGCCTAGACTGAACTGCATGGCTGCGGGTCTAGAGTCATATGTAGACCAGATCAAGCAAGGATGGCAGATTCCCTTCGCAGAAGGATAAAAACCAACTGGCTCACTATGACAATCAATGATCATTTCATAGCACCATTACTGACACTAGGTTTCAGTTACAAATCTTTACCAATTGAATTTAAATTCCACCAGTTGCCATGAGGGATTTGCACAAGTCTCAGGATTACTAGTCGAGGGATATGGATAAGATGAATGGCAGGTGTCTTTTCCCTAGGGTGAGGGATTTCAAGACCAGGGGACATTTAAGATGGGAGGAGAAAGATTTAAAAAATACATGAAGAGCAATTTTTTTTTTTTTAAACTGATGGAGCGTGTAGAATGAACTGCTAGAGAAAGTGGTGGATGTGGGTACAGTTACAACGTTTAAATGACATTTGGATAAGGACATGAATAGGAAAGATTTGGAGGGATATGTGCCAAACACAGGCAGGTGGATCTAGAGATAACACAGTGTGGAGCTGGAGCAGCACAGCAGGCCAGGCAGCATCAGAGGAGCAGGAAAGTTGACACTTCGGGTCAGGACCCTTCTTCAGAGAGAAAGAAAAAAATTTTCTGTAAAAGAGTCCCGACCCGAAACATCCATCTTTCCTGTTCCTCTGATGCTGCCATGCTAGCGTTATCCTATCTGTAACAATTAGCGACCATCAGTGTTTTATAAAAATGCTCCAGCAATTACAACACAGATAGAATCCATTTGGCTCACTGAACTTGTGTCTGTGTTAATTTAGGCGACATGTTAGCATCATGGTAATGTTGCCGGATTAGTAATCCAGAGACCCATGGTGAGCATGAGGACATGGATACAAATCCCATCCTGGCAAATGGTGCAATTTAAATTCAATGAATAGAACCTGGATTTGTAAACTAGTCTCGGTAAAATGACCACAAAACCGTCATCGTTTAATGCGAAACACCAACTGGTTCTCTGCTGTCCTTGAGTGAAGGAAATCCCCAACGTTTACGCATTCTGGCCTGTATGTGACTCCAGACCAATAGCAAAGTGGTTGGCTTTTAACTGTCCTCTAAAATTGCCTACTGAGACACAGTTCAAGGGCGATCAGGGTTGGCAACAAATACTGGCCCAGCCAGCAATGCCCACAAGCCATGATAGAAGAAAAAGAATCTTCAACTGTACTTTCTACTCTAATTCCATAACCCTGACTATTTTGCATTGCCACAACTTAATTGTCTCATCAAATACAGAGAATGAGAAAAAGTCTTTATGGTTAATTCCCATCAGAGTGGACTGCTTGCCTGAAGGTGCTCTCTACAACTTTATTTCACTCATCCTCATTCACTGAGCTATTCTGGGTATTCCCAAAGATTCCAACTTGGCATTCCCCAAAGTGGATGAGTTAGGACCAATCACTCTAAACTTCCAATACAGCGATTTCCCTTCTCTGTTCCTTTATCGAACGACTGTTGCTGAGTCCTGACTCTTTCAATCCCCTCCAACTCATCATCCTCTCAGTCTCATCAATTCCATGCTGTGGGGCACTCCCAATGGAACTCTCATGCTGTTGCTGCAGACAGAATAAGGTGTGAAATGAAAGTTGGCCACCAATCCACTGAGGCTGTTCACGCAATGGGGAGACACCAAACCCCATTAGGGGTTCCAACTAATTCACCTCCCAAGGCATTTTCCCCCGGGAAAGTCCGGAATATTCATCCATTATTCAAGTCAGGCTTCTCTCTTTGGAATGTCCCTCATTGCCCACAACACAGGAACCACTGCGTTCTTTGAAGTATTTGATAATTATCACACAGCTTCTAATCCCATTCCTATCAAGATTACTCTTTATGAAAGAATTATATGGAGGGCTTAATTGGCAGCTTTGCTAATGTAAATAAATTCCACATTTCCATTGTTATTTTTATCCTCGATCTTAACTTTAGATTTTTATTCTTACATTGGATGTTTGTGCACTCAAAGTCCATATTGCATGGTATGCTTGCATCATCTATGGATCTAAGTTAGTGTCATTCGACATATCATTGACTGACAAGGAAGTTAAGGTTTGTGGGACAGGCAGCAAAGTGGAGGTAAGGTCACTTTCAGATCAGCC